TAACGTAACGTAACGTAACGTAACGTAACGTAACGTAACGTAACGTAACGTAACGTAACGTAACGTAACGAACGTAACGAACGTAACGTAACGTACGAAGACGAGACGAGACGAGAGAGAGAGAGAGAGAGAGAGAGAGAGAGAGAGAGAGAGAGGTTGATGTAGAAAAAAAAGAAAGAAGACAAATAGCAGACCAGCTTAACAAGTCATAGCTTGGAATTCTGGGGATAGACAGATCAGCTGATTTCATAGAATTGATGCCCAATTATTTGTCTTTTGCAATTAAGTCCAGACAAATTAAGCCCATTTGCACCAAATGGGGACCAGTTCCCAAGTTGGGCAGATTAAAATTTACTTTAAATTCATTTCTAATCCCAACCTAAACTCAAAATTCTGGATTCTAACCTAACTTCAAAGTCAAATAAAACAAGTTGAAAATCCATTGCTAACACCAAGCCAAACCCCAAAAAAGAAAGAACCATAGACCGAAGCCCTGGAATAGAGGCACAACACAGGCATTTGACAGTTTACAGAATGATGTACACTATGAAATAAATGAAATATATGGATACTGACCTGAGACCAGTAAGAAATCCAGATGCTGAGAATCTCATGGGTGACTCTAGGGTCTGATAAAGCATCAACCCATCGTTTGATGAAGCGTTCTTGCCTGCATAGAAATGAGACATCACCATTAGATGCATTTTGAAGAGAAGTAATGAAAGAAATCATCTTGGATTCTTGGAATGATCCTAGACTATCGGGAGAAAAACTATCGTTTTTTTTTTTTACCTTTACATTTTCAACTACTATCAGAAGCATAAATTTCGTCAAATAAAAAAAAAAATTAAACAGTACTGGAGGCATAGTACTCATATGACAAGAAGAGCTGAGGAATTCACCTGTCTATTGCAAATGATCTGTATCTCTCGCCTGGCTGCTTGAAGTTGTTCTCCTTCTCGATCATGCACTTTAATGGAACCACAAGCAAAGCAATTAAGTGCTTTAGAATTCAGCCATACCAAGGAAAAGAAAAAAGAAAATCTCCATGTTCTTTTGTAAGAAAAAGAGGAATTGAAGTCCATGTAGTGAAGAATAATGTACTCCTCACAGAAGATTGGAATGAAGTATAGAACACCATTGCGTTTAAAGTTTCAGGCATGTTATGATTCCATGTAGTATCTATCTGGACGCCAATTGTGAAAATCCAAAATAGGCAAAAAAAAAAAAAACAGCAACTGAAGAACTTCAAGAGATGAATCATCTGAGTAAAATTACAGAGATTCACAAATTACTCGTATACAAACAATACAACAAAATTCAAGTAAGAGAAAACAAACTCACCTTCTCACGTTTACCGCTGCAAATTTGAGGGGGCATAGGGAACTTCTCAGCATGACGCACAGGATCAAACCTTGAGGGGAAATAATCCACCTGCAACCCATTAGAAACCAAATCAGATACAAATACAGTTGGAGGATCCTAAAAATACATATACAGAGTCTTAAGCAAAGAACATTAGTTCTGTCCTACTTTTTAAATAGGAAGAGAAGGATTTAACAAAACAAATTTAAATTATGATAGCATGGACCATCTTTCTCAAAAAACGATTGTGATAAAAGGGTTCCAGCCATGGAGGATCTTATCCTATCACCACAATGTCCACTTCACCGAACCATCTAAAACAAAAACCCAATCCTTTATGATACATGACAGAATGTCTTCTCTGTTGTTTTTCTTTATTAGTGTCTCTTGATTCATGTTACAGCAAATCTTATTCCAACTTCTATGACTCCAGATACATTTGCCATTTATCAATGAACATTATACCTATCAAAAAACACAAAAAAAAGACATTATTTAATATCACTGTATTTCAAAAATCACCGAGTCGACTTGGGATTCACCTAAGTTTGCTTGGTTCAAGACTCTGGCGAGTCCCAAAGTGAAACTAGGGACTGCTGAGGTCTCACCTCGTTTTGATATTTTTATTGTTAGTTTCTTTACAGATTCAGCCGAATCTTGTACCAACTTGGCCAGGTCGGATGAGGGAACTTGGGCTTGGAATCTTGGGAGTCCAAGCCAAGAGTCCTTGTTTTTAGACAGTGGATAAAACAAATGAGAAAACATTACCTCTTCATCCCGGTGTGCAAAATTCATAAACCCGTCGTAGTGGTTGTTGTGATGGGCGCATTTGGGGGCATTAGCCGGGAGCATCAAGTAGTTGGGTCCAAGACGATGCCTCTGAGTGTCAGAATAAGAGAAGATCCTTGTCTGGAGAAGCTTGTCATCAGAGTAATAGACCCCAGGTACCACTATGGCAGGGCAAAAGGCCAGTTGCTCATTCTCAGTGAAGAAATTGTCAATGTTGCGGTTCAAAACCATGCGCCCCACTAGCAGAAGGGGTAAGATATCCTCAGGCCATGTCTTGGTAACATCCAATGGATCGAAATCAAACCTATCCACATCCTCAAGATTGATGGTTTGGATGAAAAGTTTCCATTCTGGGTAGTTTCCAGCCGCTATAGAGTCGTATAGATCCTTAGTTGCATGGCTGTGGTTGGTTCCTCCCACGATAACTGCCTCGTCATCTAATAGGGACTTAACCCCACATGAGGGCCTCCAATGAAATTTCACTAAAGTGGCTTTTCCTGCCTTGTTGATGAGAGTGTATGTGTTGACACCAAACCCATCCATGTGACGATAATCCATGGGGATACCCACATCGTCAAAGAGGAATGTGAACATGTGGAGACTCTCAGGGTGGTGAGAGAAGAAGTCGAGGATCCTCCAGTTCTCTTGGATGTGAGTTTTGGGGTTTGGTTTTAGGGAATGAACCATGTCAGGGAACTTCATGCCATCGCGTACGAAGAACACAGGGAAGTTGTTCCCAACCATGTCAAAGTTGCCCTATCAAAAGACAATGGGGGCTCATAATCAGTAAGCAATGACTGCAGGGCTTCGTTGTTTAATGAAAAAGATGATGGGGTTTCACATATAAGTAAGTCTTTGGCACTTCAACAGATAAGTGGAAGAAAACAGCATAAATTTATAAAGCATAGACCAAATTCCTTGTGATGTCATTGCCTGTCATTGTCTTGCAACCATCGCCTTCCGGTTCAATTGAAACCGCCAGAGGATAGAGTAAATGTCCTATCTTATGAGAGAGGAATTCCCAATAAAACTAGATTTAGTGTATTTTGAGAATCCTGATCAAGAACGATATTAGGATTTGAGCTATATATCATCTAGAAGGCATCTCTCCTTTTGGATTCTGATAAATAAGTTTTTCATACATGCATAGGATAAAGATAATTTTTAGAAATTTTTTATATTTCTTTAAAAAGATCCACCATGGCCAGTCTGAAGCCCGGAAAAAGGAGGAGGGTTGTGTTAGGTTGGCAGCTAAGGTAAGATTTTTCCCCCATCTTTTCATGAATCTTGAAAAAATAGTTGACAAGGCTCGAATTACGATGATGATATCGTTCTTTAAAAAGAAATACAGCGTTTTCTTAATTTTGACTTTTTAATCACAAGTATCTATTGTTTAAAACATTTTCCAAGTTCAAATAAGGAAGAATAAAGAGATGCTATGTATCTTCTCTCTCAAAGTAGGTCCCTCTCCTTATAGAGCCCAGTTCCACACAAGCACACGATGAAGATAACATTCTAAACTTTTAAATTTATTACAAATATAGTAAGGAATCATTGTTTAAAAAAACGGTCCGCCTGGCGCCTGCCTAGGCGTTTTTTAACAAAAAACCGCACGCCTCATGAAATGGCACCCGTAACGAGCGTTTTTACCTGGGCGGGACCCCAGGTCTGGGCGGGCACCAAGGTGGCCTAGGCATAGCCTAGGTGGCGCCCAGTGAAGTAAGGTGAAAATTGCTTTTTAAATTCGCCCGACAAGACAGAATGGGTCATTTTGGCCCCCAAGTTTGTATAAAAATGTTATGAGGTTTATTTTTTAACCCCAAAGTAAAACGTATGTTGCGAAATGGAATAAATTACAAAATTTGACACAAATGTATGCATATATGTACATTAGGATAGCAAATATTTTTAAAAATGCTATGACTTTTCACTACAGGGCTAAAAATGGATGATTTTCCACTACAGAGCGCCCGAGGATCTGGGCGCCAGGCTGGCCACCTAGGGGCTGCCTAGCTTTTTTTGATACATTCCTTTAAAAAGAAATAAAGCGTTCTCTTGTTTTTTGATTTTTTAATCACAAGTATCTATTGTTTAGAACACTTTCCAAGTTCAAAATAGGAAGAATAAAGAGATGCCATGTATATTCTCTCTCTTAAAGTAGGACCCTCTCCTTACAAAGCCCAGTTCCACACACGCACACGATGAAGATAACATTTTAAACTTTTAAATTTATTACAAATATAGTAAGGAATATAAAACATTTTTAATTATTTTGAACTATGACTTTTTATTTGAAAATATTCCCCAATTCAAAATAAGGGATATGAAAGATAATTTATCCTTACAAAATACTTTCCTAATAAACAAGGTTCCATAAATTCTCAAATTTATCTCAGTTTCCCAGATTTTCCATCTCTTAATAAAATTAAGAAATAATATAACTAGGAATGGGCTCAAGGCTAGGTGGTCAGGCTGGTGGGATCGCCACAATATGATGCCTTAAGTTCCATTCCTACCATGGGTAGGGGGACCCCATCCCCACTAAACAACATGACTTTCTTGTAAGTTTTAATTATGAATTTATTATTTTAAAACATTAAGTGAATCAATATAAAATATGATCTTTGAATATTAATTTTCAAGTTGAATGGTTGTGCACAAAACACACTTTTAGTTTAAACAATAAAACATATGTACTTACTATTAATCAGAAAAAAAAACGAGCATATGCAAATATAAGAAATGCAATATATTTTCATCCTAAAATGATCCTTACCAGAAGCTAAACCATGCCATATTGAAGTAATCAAACAGATTGGATGTTCAAAAAGTGTTTCTGTTCCCTAACGTGACAATAGAACAAGATGCAAACAATTGAGAGTAATCTACAGTTACCCCCCATATAAAGGTTTCAACAGAATGTGAAGCGCAATAAAACGAAAAGGTAAAAAAATACAACACATTCCAAAATAATCAATTATTTGCAGAGCTGAAGCAGAAAATAGGAAGGAAATGCAAAAGCAAAAGGAGCTTCTTTCTCGAGCTCCAAATAATAATAGTAAAGCAACAGCACAATGCTTCACATTGCCAAAAGAAAGGCAAGGAGAAATAGCCATACTACAGATAAAAATAAAACTCAAGTAACTAACAGGAAGCGGCAGCATAACCTCAAAAGATACAAAAAGAAGAAACGAAAGACAAAAAAAAAGGATAAATTTATTAAAGATCCTACCTCTCTAGTGTAAAACTTGACAGCAAAACCTCGAGGGTCTCTGAGAGTTTCAGGGCTTCCACGCTCATGGATAACAGTGGAGAACCGAACAATAAGAGGTGTCTGGACCCCTGGGGCTCGAAGGAAATCAGCACAAGTGAGATGAGAGATGTCATGGGTCACCTCAAAGAATCCCTTAGCACTAGCACCTCTTGCATGCACAACACGCTCTGGTATGCGCTCCCTATCGAAATTCGCAAGCTTCTCAACCAAATGATAGTCCTCAAGAAGAATAGGCCCTGTTCCACCAACAACAAAAAGGGTTTTAATTAATGTGATAAGATACACAACATATACTAAGAGAGAGAGAGGCAGAAATCGACACTACACTATAGGCAATAACAAGAAAGATATAATATTTCTGATCCCTCAGAGAATCTATAACATGGAGAATAAGTTAATGAAAAATTGATGCAAAAACCAGCAGAAAGCAGAGAGAGAGGGGCAGAAATTGACACTACCCAATAGGGAATAACAAGAAAGATATAATATTTCGGATCCCTCAGAGAATCCATAACATAGAGAGTAAGTTAATGAAAATTTGATGCAAAAACCAGCAGAAAGCAACTGAAAACAATATTGGAAAGAATAATATCTAATGCCAATAGAATCAGGCCGGAAGGAGAGGGGGAAAAGGGGAGAGAGAGAGAATCAAGCTCAAAGGAGACGGGGAAGAGGGGAGAGACATAGAATCAAGCTCAAAGGAGAGGGGGAAGAGGGGAGAGAGAGATAGAAAACCAGCTAATACACATATTCATTTGACATGACAAAGAACCATTTACATCCTAAGGAATCTTTCATTATAATGATTATCAACAAAATATACTAACAAAAGAAGCCAGCTCTGAATATGATCATTCTTAGAATGAGAGAAACAAAGCTGCAACAGTCAATGAAATGAAAACTTCATACCAGCCCCCAAGAAAGCATAAAATCAAAAGAATCAATATATTCATTAAAAACCCAGAAATCAAACCATAACACAATCATAAACTCAAAGAGATACCTCTAGATCCAACTGTCAATGAAGAGTTGTTATTCCAAACAGGCGCACCAGAGTTGGTGGTGAAGAAAGGGCAATTGTGGGCGCTCGAAGGGCGAAACTGGTTCAAAATTCAATAGAAATTTAGCCAAAAATTCAATCTTTCTTCCAATTACCCAAAACCCAACTCTAAAAAGCACAAAACCAAACAAACCCAGAGCGAGAAATCAAGAACTATACCTTGTATGGATCCATGGCGTATGGCTCAACAGAGAATAGGCTAGAGAGAGATAGTAGAGAGAGAAAGACCCAGTGCTACGATTCCCCCAAAAACGAATATATATAAAATTGGCCACCCCATTTCTTTAATAGCATTTCATACATGGCACAAAGCCCGCGTTGGGCTTATCAACAGAAACCAAACGACATGCCTCTCAAATCGTTCGAAATTTCAAAAGCGTCCCTGTTTAATTAGCATGTTATGTATTTCTATATTTGAGATTTTACCAGGCAAGAGAATGGGGTGGGGCCTTGGCCATATCAAGGAGCTCTATGATGAAATCGCTTACTCTATTCTCATCAAAAGGTAGAGGTCCAAATCTTTATTCACTTACCATTTTTTACTTACCAAAAAAAAAGAGTTTATGTTAGTTTTTGTCGTGTTAGCCTTGTATTATAGAAACGAGGGATTACAAATTTCTATTAAGAAAGGTTTGAACAGTACAAATTCTATAAAGGCCCATTTGTTTTGCAAGAAATAAAACTTTCAGACAGATAACACTCTTTATTGTAGTAATTCTGTGTTTGGCTGCATATGAACTGTAGTAATGAGAGCCCAAAGTTTCTTTTTTTCTTTTTAAAATGATAAAGTTTAAGTTCTTGAGGGGCCTAAGAACCCAAACTCTCTCAATGTTTTTGTCGCTCACTACTTCTGGTGACGAGTATTCACTACTAACTATGGAAAAATATATAATGAAACTATTTACCTTTGATACAAGGTGGTCACAATTGATCTTAACCACTAGATGTGATATTGGGTCGCTGCAGTTATTTTATTAACCAAGCTCAAAGTCCAAAAGAAAAATTTTCAAACTTTATGACATATCTAAGCTATCAGACTTCACATAAGATAGTTATAAGTAATTGTGACCTCCATGTGTGAAAGGTAAATGGTCTCATTGTATACAATCCCATTAACTATTTACAACATAATATATATTATATAAGATTTTATTCAATCCAATTAAGGTACACCTCCAAATTTTATCATAACATGTAATTTTGGTGTTAAAAATTATTAGGATTATCTAACAATCTATGTTCATATCTAATTATAAATTTTTAAACTCCAAAAATGGTTAAAATCAAGTAGGTCTATAAATATATGCAAATATTGAAAATAGACATATTAGATAATGTATTGTAAGATGCACTATTTCTAGGACTCAAAATCTTTTTTTTTGTTTTTCATAGTCACACATCTCGATGTTGAGATGACCAGTTAGAGTGTTTTTCAACATTAAAACAACATTTTTTCGATGGA